ATAAAAATATAGATAATTCTAAACTCTTTGTAGCTAAGTAAAAATGTCCTTTCTCCTGGTAGCTGAGTAGAATCAGCAGTCTGTTCAACCGGCTGAGTTTAACATTTTTGCTTAATGCAAGATTCCTGGGGTCTGTTGTAAGGTTACTTCAAAAGGTTGCGAGAAGGTTTACATCTATAATATAATGTGTTGATAATATATATATATATATATAATATTTGAAAGAATAGATGCACTCTGCGGTCTTTATAAAATGAAGTAGTACTTTGATCAATAATAAAGTTTACATTCATCTGATCGACTTATCGACCCGTACGGGTCTTCCGTGTTCGGAATGAGGGGATGAGGGAGTTCATCACCACCGGTGAATACCCTTAATATTTTCCTATATATAGATTAACAGCAGGTTAATACATTGATCTTGAGGAAGACCCGAACGAATCAAAACGTCAATCGGATGGATGTAAACTTTTTTTATGGATTAAAGTACTACTTCACTTTATAAAGACCGCAGAGTGCATCTCTTCTTTCAAATATTATATATACTTTCAGCGTGGGATTGCACTAGGGCATTAAGTCTAAAAGCTATATGGACTGAAAGGGTGAGTGCCAAGATATCTATATACATATATATATACAACATACAAAATACACAATCCAGCGCACTCGCTTATTCGCTAAATAATGATTTCAAATCTTACAGATTGTAATAGTTTTGTTTAAAAAACACCTCACCTAGGCAAAAAATAATGAGGGTTTAGTTACATTATATGATCATATATTGCATAAGCCTGCCACAACATCAATGTACTACATTCTTGGCAGGTCCTACTCTAGCAGCCCAATGCTTGCTCTTATGAGATTAATCCACTTACTTGGGAAATACTTCCTTACTGGGAATCTCTGCAAGTCAAGGCTAAATAGGGTCCTGGAATGAGGCACCTGTGCAGTGGCGTACACACGACCCATGGGGCCCCAGTGCGAAAATTGATCCGTGGGCCCCCTGGGCCGGGTCTGCAACACATGGTGGTGGGCACCCAGTCACAGGGGTCCGCAGGGAGGCTGGGCCCCCTGGAATGACGGGCCCAGTCGCAGCTGCGATGCCTGTGACCCCAGTACGTACGTCACTGTAGACACGCACATACATACAAACACACACACACACAGAGACACATATATACAGACATACACATATATAAAAACACACATACATACAAACACACATACATATATACAGACACATACATACAAACACACACATACACATACATACACAGACAGACATACACACACACACATACACAGACACAGAGACAGACACATACACACATACATACACATACACACAGATAGACACACAGACAGACATACACACACACACACAGAGAAACATTCATACAGACACACACACATATACAAAATATTTTAGTTATCCTCCTGTTTCCTACCTTTATGGTGCAGGAGGGTGACTTTCCTGGGCTCCAGTGGTGGCTCAGCCTGATGAGTTCCCACTCTGACTCCCTCCTCTCTTCCTCCTGCGTGGCTCTGTCTGATAGCTGGGAGGAGTGACCGGGGCAGTCACTTCCTCCCAGCTGTGATGTAATCAAAGGGGGCCCAGTCACACTGTTAAAGCACCGCAGCACTGACCAGGCCCCCTGGAAATTCATAGCCATCGGGTGGTCCTAACAGCATGGGCCACCAGATGGGCCTCTTCATGTGCAGCACCGGCGGTTTTACCGCGTGGGCCAGAGCCACAACACATGGCAGCGGGCACCCGGTCACAGGGGTCCAAAGTGTGGCTGGGCACTGTGGAATTAACTATTATAAAAAATGAAAATATTATAAAAATATAATAAAGAAATTATATATTCATAACATCGGGAAGGGGTTATATGGCAGAGGAATTCTGTCATTTGGAACTGAATTCCTTTCATTTGTTTATTTTCAAAATCTAGAAAGGCTGCTGATCCTATCATATATTTATGTAGAGATATATGATAATATTTTATGTTTTATGTTACATACCGTATATGTACAATTAATGTGTTGCAAGACACTTTACGTTCGTTTCTGTGCTTCCTATCATCACTTTTTAAACTAATATGTACAGTGTCAAAAAGGAATGTAGGTTGATCCATATTGAATATATAAAGGAGCTAGCATTTATATTAGCTTGGAAGTTGGGTCTAAATTACAGATGCAATTCCAATGATACAGGTACCTCCTACACTTTAGCCTGTCTCAAAAAAGATTATTTCAATTGGCCATAAAGCTGTGCATTATATGAGTTGATGCCTATATGGAAAGGAACAAATAATCACAAGGGGCATTGAACTGGCTATAACATATGTCAGACTAGCAAAAATATATGTCTCAGTAAAATATTACGGATGTCAAACCTCTTACAGAATATAAATCCACTACTCCCTATAGACCCAGGTACAGGATGGTTTTATGTCTCAGTCTATAAAGTCAACATAACCAAGGAGGTTGGCTGTGTCCCAGCTCCCTGGAGATGTTCAGCTGAATTAGTTCTCACTAGCCTTATTCACTAAAGTGAGAATTGCCAGGAATTCAAAGTGAATTCAGAGTAAAGTTAAAATTTAAGGCGAAAATAGCCAAAATGAAAACAGAATTGTTTGGTTGATTTTTTTCTAATTTGGCTAAAATGTTGAAACTAACTTTGAATTTAGGTTAAACTCCCAGATAGTCTCACTTATAGTGTATAGCCCTGTTGGATTTGATCACCTATTTACAGGAAACTTACCTGCACGTATATATTTAAAAGGCCTCACTAAGTGCCTAGAAACAACACCTGAGAAGTAGGGTTATTCACTAATGTGACAATTCAAAGTGAATTTCACATTTAAGGTCAAAATAGCCAAACTGGAAAAATATTTTTTCAGTTTGGCTACTCTGGTCTTAAATTTTAAATGTATTTAGAATTCTCATTTGAGTAAATAATCCTGTAAGTAATCAATAAGCGAAATAATTCCCCTATAGGGAAAATGACATATGTCTACATTTAAGCTATAATGAATTTCCTGACTCCCTACAGCAGTTTTCTAATAAGACATTTTGCACGCACTAATTGGGTTATCCTTCTTTAATCTCAGTTTGGATATAATATGTAGCAGCCCCTTTACTAGTTTTGCTCCACTCTACGTTAACCCTTTTTTATTTTATATTCCTTGCAGTCATACGGTGGGTGACTAGTGCTGCAAAGAATATTGATGTGGGAAGGAAAGCCTTACATACATTTAACACAGTTTAACAATATCTAGATGAATGGCTGGTTGGACTGACAGATGGACAGAGGATAGCGTGGACAGGCTGATGTGCTTGATAGATGATTGATAGATAGACAGAGATAGATAGATAGATAGATAGATAGATAGATAGATAGATAGGCAGACAGACAGACATATTACAAATGCAGCTAAAATATTGATGATGAAATGTTTGATCATGTTTTGGTAGAATTTAGTGTCTGTCTTGTTTACTTTTGTACAGGCTATGTTAGAGTTATATAAATAATTGTAATTGTAAAGGCTATCAGACAATACTATCCATAAAAATGTTCTCGTTTCCCTGGACAATTACTGTTTCAGAAAGAGAGATAGAGAAACTGCACTATAAATGTGTCAATTGTGTCTTGCCAAAGATAAAATAAACTGTAAATGGAGGAATGCTGCAGCTACAGGTAAAATCCCTCATTGAGTTACAACCACTGATCCTCGGCGTCTCCATGTCTGTTTTGAGCCTGTGTAAAACGAACAGCTTATATAAACAGTAGTAACACATATTCAATACTTGCACTCCAAAGAGAGCATCAACCATCAAACAGCGGTTAATTGAAATTGATTTGAGTTACCATGCGCATATTAATCCCTTCAGTGCTGGAGGGAACTAAGTTACCAATGTAAGCTGAACTGACAGTGATACATTCGAGCACATTTTAGTTCTGAAAGGGTTTAACAAAACTTTAAAATAAGTGTCTGTGCCGCAACAACTGAGACTCAAATTTTGTTGTTGACAAAGGAAGCCCACACTGCTTAGTCTTATTAGTCCCTTGGCATTTGAGCAAATTGCTGCATAAAATCCTGGAGGCCAATGCTTCTGTAAAGTCTATATGGGTTTCCTGTTTAAATGATGAGGGTAAAAGGTTATCATCACTTTCTGCACAGTTTGTATAGTCCATTTGACAGTAGGAAACTCAAGTAAATCAATTTTATTGCCCACCAGAGTGTTTACCAAATCCCTGGGGGGTGGGGGTGGGGAGGGGGGGGGCATTGATGAAGTAAGAGTTCAAAGCTTTGTCATAAATGCAGCTTATTTCCCCCAAGACCAACTGAGAGCTGCAGCAGAAAAGAAAGAAAAATGTCTTGTTTACTACAGAAGATTTGAAGAATTAATTTTATATGTTAAACCATCCCCCCTCCTCCTTATATATATTCCACCTTTCTTTTCTGTTTTCGCAAAACAGCCAGGGCTAAATAATGAACCCAATGCTGTGCCCTTTGGTAGCGTGATAGCTCATTACCCACGAGCGGCCTCCATCTGCCCTCATGGCTGCACAGGGAGCCATTATGATTATGATAGAAGTCTCAGAAGCCATTATCAAGATGCAACAGAGGGCCTACTGCAGACAGCCTAATGGACTAATTTGTAATTGGAAGAGGAAAATGAGTTAGCAAGCGCAGGCCTGGTTTTGATGAGTATGGAAGTGCGCATGCTAAATGTGATAAATGAACAGGAATGCTTGTTTTCGCAGTTGGTTTTTACAAGACCTTCAATCTCTCCTGGGGATCAGAGGCGTGCTGACAAGCCCTTAGAACAGAGGAGTGTGAGACTCCATTGGGAATAGGGTATGTTTAAGGAGAATAGGTAAGGATAAATCGAAGAAAGAAAAGCTAATGGCAATTAAAACACACACACAAGGAAATGACTGCATCTGCCAGGAAAGCAGTAATTAGGGAGCTTTCCGCATGCATATCTTTAGTCATTAAAATTGAAAATGAATGTGCAACATGGCATTTGCTTAGTTAATATGTAAAGATGTATTCAAAATTGTCTAAAGGGAGGCATTGTGTAATCTAATGCGGAACCCTGTGTGCTTTGCTTTAGGAGTTCATTTGCAGATCACAAAAATATAACTATTTCTCAAGAGTGATATAAGAGCCTCATAGTGTGATTACTTTAGTAGTTGGACCCAAACGATAATTAGTCCTTGCCCATTCAGAGGAAACCATATGGATCGGATTACATTACAATATAAATACAAAATGGATGCAGTTTTAATTGTAATCAATGTACATCTGCATGGTTAAAAACAAACATTATGAGACAGAAGGTCAGTGTTTGTAAAACAAGCTAAAGATTAATTACCATATAATAATAGTGACACTAAATACTGTTTTTAAATGTAGCTTTTTTTTTTAAAAGAGAAACAGAGATTAAACTAAAAATACATCCTGTGTAATATGAAATGCACATGTATATTTGATAATATTTGCTATTGCACTGTCTTTGCTCAGCCAATCAGGACTGGTAGCCTGTGTGGTAGCTGTTAGCCATGTAATCTAATTACATAGACAATATACATAGGCCAATATTGCGTTCTGAAATCAAACATCATGGTTGTGTTTTACAACCCAGAGAGGGTACGATCTTATTATGATGAAATAATCTTTGCATGCTGTGATGCCTGTATAGTACAGATGCTTGGTGTACCTTTTGTTGGAACATTCAAACATTTGGTGTCATTTTCAGGAAGTAGCATTTTCAAAAATGCCATGTTCCTTACAGATATCAATAAGCAGTATACATAACTAATTTTATTTTTCTCTTTATGTCACACAGTGTGGCAAAAATTTAATTTTGACTTTCTTTTATACAAATTTTTTCAGACCATGCCTTCAAGACGAATATTGACATATATTCTATAAAATGGTTTATTCTCCCTATATTTCTGTAAAGGATTGTCAAATTATTTGGCCAATTTTTTTAAAAAAGTGAAAGAAAGACAGACAAATACAGCGCCAGAAAATGGGCTTCAAGGGCCTGGAGCTCAAAGTTTTTATGGGCCTAATTACATGAGTATATTAAAGGAACAATCTAAGCATCATAACCACTACAAAACAATGCAGTGGTTATTGTGCCAGAATTGACATGGCTCATCCCATTGTAAGTAGACTAATGGTAGTTAGAATGGTTTGTCTATACACCTGGGGTCCGCCCGCTCCTCTAACTCAGCCAAAGAGCCGAAAGCTCTTGCTTAGGAGACTTGTGTTAGCTCTCCTGAGCTAAGCCTTGCAGTGCAGGACTTGGCTCAGACAGAGAGCTTCTGTCTCTCTGATTAAGGTAGTAGAGGCAGGAGCAGACCCCAGGTAAGAAGTTAAGTCATTCTTAAATGGTTTAACTACTTTTAAGGGGGGCACCAGAGCACTCCTTTCAACATAACCACTACAGCATACTGTAGAGGATATGATGTTTGGTGTCTTCCTTTTACTAGAAGTTTCAGACATATGTAAAATTGTACCCAAGTGCCCATATAAATAATCATTTGTGGGCATATGTAAACACATAATTGCATTCATATATGCGCAGTGGATAGACCAATTGTATAATATTGCTCTGCTCCCCTATGTCTAGAAAATGTTCTGCACTCTGCCTTCTATTTACAACAGGGGATGTATTTAATAAAGTAAAAAATTTAGTAAATTGAAATTGAAATAGTAAAATAAAATCATCAATAGCTAATTTGGATAAATTCTCCAACTAATTTATAGTCACAGCTTAGCTACTTTTGGATACATTTTGTAATTCAGATTTCAATCTGCTACAGTTGGGTGGTTATTGTAAAATCATATATGTATGTAAAGTTCAAGATTCTACAAAGAGTAATGCATTTGTATATTTCTGATTCATACATGTAAGTGATGCATATGCAGTGATTTCTAACATATAATATGTATATAATATGGGGCATTTCAGTGTATATAATATGTAAATTGTATGTAAATGGTAATGTAATATATGCTTGACATATTACTAGGGGCTCTGTAATCTTCCAGGACACCCTGCCCATTACTGGGGGCTCTGTAATCTCTCAGTTCACACTGCACAATACTAGGGGGGATTGTTTAATCTCCTTCCCAGTACACTTACACACATTATAGGGAGCTCTGTGATATCCAGGTCCGGACTAGGCAAATGCCATGCCAAGCACCTATCCAAGCGCCGACCAAGCTGTGTGCCTTTACAGGCCAGTGGGTCGATTAAAGATCTCCCTCATAGGCCTGCTGACACTTTACTGTAGTGGAAGTAGTGGGAAGAGGACCCTGGGGCTCTAGCCAGCAACTCCGCTGGGTTCTTCCTCTCGCAAGGCTGTAGTGTTGACGCAGTTACCACAACAATGTTACAACAGGCTGAATCTCGCAAGGATGAAATCTAGCTGGGGGAGCTGCATGCTAAAGTTCACTCAACATCGGACCACCAGGAATTGCACAAAATGCCCATTTGCCCAGAGAAGGAGGGAAATATTGATTTTTTTTATTTATTTAATTAAATAACAATGGAAAAAGGCATATTTGCTCCTCCCCCCCCACACACAATTTAGACCTCCCAGCACTTTCAAACATTGCACCCTGACATACACACACTGCACCCCTTACACACACACACACACACACACACACTACATCCCTCACACACACATTGTACTTTTGTACTTTTCACACACACTGCATCCTTCACACATAGCATTACTCATAAACACACACACACATTGAGCCCCTCCTACACACATTACACCCCTCACACTGCACCTCTCACACACTCACACACACACACTGAACCCCTCACACATACACACATTGCACCCCTCAAACATGGACACACACACTGCACCCCTCAAACACACTGCACCCCTGATAAACACATCTGGGTCCCCTATGCACACATACTAGATTGCCTGTGTGCAAACCGCTTCTACACACACTACATCACTCATACACACATACACTACAGCCCCATACACACTATGTCCCCTATTCACATACACTATCTCGCTCAGTACAGCCCCTACAACAAACACAGGACGTTTTCACATGTGAGAGCTCTTCAGTAGGGCTCTGCAAGTGGGATGCCCTGAAGAAGCATTGAATCAACATGCTCACTTTGAGGGGGGCATGCTTGTCATTGGTGATGACAATACCCCCACCTCTTCTCACCGGGCTGTTGTGACTCAAAAAAGCATGGGAAATTTTATTCCCAATCCTGCCCTGGTGATATCCTAGTTCACACTGCACATTGATAGAATATCCAGATAATATGTTGATAATAATACACAGACAAGTCAATTTTTGCAGTGTCTTCTTCACTTCTTGTTTCTGTCAATATTATTTTGTTTGACAATGACTTGTCAAATATCCCCATTCTTTAATTGTAAAGCAGTGCCACAAATTTTGGTGCTATCAATGTTAGTTATTTAAAGTCATTTAATGCCCATGTGCTCAATTCTACTTATCTAGGATTCTTAACATAGACTACTAATGTTCACTATATACCATGAAGGACAAAGTACGTCTTTCAGTTTCAAAACAGCAGAATGTTTGTGGCCTAGACCTGTCTACTTTTCAACATCACCCTATTTTTCTCATATTGAACATCAAAAAAAATCACAGTTAAGCCTAATATATGTTGGCAACACAGGATGCAGCAAAGAAACATCCGCTTTTATGGTCTTTAAATTTGAATTTATGTGAATTTTCTCTGTTTGTTTTTCATTGATAACTGTTGTCCCTTATTCCCTCTAAGTGAGGTGGCTGTAGATTATGTTGGCTTGTTTCCATAGTGACAACTAAGAAAAGTAATTTTATAAAGCTGGCTCTTTCCATGGTTATTTTATATGAGTGTAACATTAACAGATTGCTCCATTGATCTTAGGCCTAACATGGAGGCAAAAGAAATGACTGGAGCATTTCATATAAATAGACAAGCATTGGTGCTGTTTAGATTGGTTCAGTGCCGAATAAGGTAACAAAAGCATCATAGTTGCTTTAGGCACCTGGGAGGCAATAAAAAAAAATACGACTGCATAAAAGCTGCCTTTTCTCTAATGAATAGCTGGTTGAGAAATTAACTTGTTCACATTTTTCTTACCTAATAAAGTTAGGGGCTAGCTTAAAAACTTGCTGATGAATCTAATGAGTTAGAGAAGTAGAGGAACTGGGAAAAGGGAGTAAGCCTTATTTAATGTAATATATCAGATCTGTCTAAAATTAAATTAAAAGTATTTTATTCTAAAGGAAATAAGTCATGGCAAAACTATTTTACATAAGAGTAATTTACTAAAGTATTACAAAGCAGCTAATTTAAAAAAGAGTTAATAAACTGTCTTTAACCCCTTAAGGACGGAGCCAAATGTACACATTGTGAACAAAACAAAATGTAAACAAAACCTGGCATTTGCGCTACATGTCTGTCCAACCGTAATACACCTCTTTCATAGTAAATGCACCCACCCTTATTATATATCATTTTATTCAGGGGAAACAGGGCTTTCATTTAATATCAAATATTTAGCTATGAAACATAATTTAATATGAAAAAAATGGGAGAAAATACGATTTTATTGGATTTTTTTAGTTCTACATGACAATTAAACGGTCAGTGTCATAATACTGTTTGCTTTTACTGCAATAAAATACACATATTTGTATTCAGCAAAGTCTCACGTGTAAAACAGTACCCCCTATGTACAGGTTTTATGGCGTTTTGGGAAGTTACAGGGTCAAATATAGCACGTTACATTTGAAATTGAAATTCGCCAGATTGGTTACGTTGCCTTTGGGACTTTATAGTAGCCCAGGAATTAAATTTACACCCATAATGGCATACCATTTGCAATAGTAGACAACCCAAGGTATTGCAAATGGGGTATGTCCAGTCTTTTTAGTAGCCATTTGGTCACAAACACTGGCCAAAGTTAGTGTTAGTATTTGTTTGTGTGTGAAAAATGCAAAAAACGCCAATTTTGGCCAGTGTTTGTGACTAAGTGGCTACTAAAAAAGACTGGACATACCCTGTTTGCAATACCTTGGGTTGTCTACTATTACAAATGGTATGCCATCATAGGGGTAATTTTCATTCTTGGGCTACCATAGGGTCTCAAAGGCAACGTAACCAATCTGGCGAATTTTAATGTGAAAAAAATGAAACGCAAGCCTTATATTTGACGCT